CTTGTCTGACCCCTTTGCCAATTGGGAACCATTCGGTTTCTCCGTCTTTTGTCTAAACAGTAGCCTCTTGTCCTGAGGACAGATTTCTCATCAGCACTATCAGATGTGTTGGCAATCCCATCATGCTCTGCAGAGGGGTGGGATATAAATAATTATTATTATTATTATTATTATTATTATTATTATTATTATGCCTTTAAGGGCGTTCCATAGTCTTTCATGGTCTATGCAGTCAAAGGCTTTGCTATAGTCTATAAAGCACATGCTGATTTTCTTTTGAAATTCCCTGGTGCACTCCATTAGCCATTTGCAATGTATGATTTATTAAATCAATAAATAGATAGATAAATAAATAACTTCCCGGGGTCATGCTCCAGCCCCTTACATCCCACATCACACCAAGGCTCTGCTTTTTCTGCCAGCATGACAGACCAAACCCTTGGCCATACATGACAAACGAATGAGATGTTGACAGACTCCTAAAGGACAAAGAATGGATGACGAAGATGACAGGGAGGGAAGGGCAAGCACATCCAGGGCAAGTTTCCTGCTTTTAACAGAGGGGAGATTTATTATTAATATTAATATTTTCAAAAACCCATTGAGAAAATGGAGATTAGAAGACAACCCAATGGATTCAAACAACAAGAAAAGAGGTTGCACTCAAACATTAGATTCTGAGATTTGTAGTTTGGGGAGATATTTAGCCTTCCATGTCAGAAAGCTCTGGTGCCACAACAAACTAAAAGTCCCAGGATTCCACAGCACTGAACCATGGAAATTAAAGTGGTGTCAAATTATTATTATTATTATTATTAACCCACCTTCCTCCCGGTACTCAAGGCAGCTAACTACTTCATTTCTGCAATGTGGCAGAAGACTCAGGTTTCTTCCACACTGCAAATATAATCCAGTTTGACACCACTTTAACTTCTATGGAATTCTGTAATTTTGGGAGATATTTAGCCTTCCAGGTCAGAGAGCTCTGGAGCCACAAGAAGCTACAGTTCCCAGGATTCCACAGCATTGAGCCATGGCAGTTGAAGTGGTGTCAAACTGGATTATTTCTGTAGTGCAGATGCAACCTCAGTGTCTCTTAAGCAGTATATTATGTCCTCTCACAAACAAAAAAGCAACTCAGGGAAGGTCTTTTTTGCGTGTGCATTTTTGCAAGAGAGGTGTTTTGTTCTAATGCAAAAGTCTCACTGCAAACTGGAACCCACTTTTGCAGGATCCCAGCCGAGCAACTAATTCAATCATTATGTTCGGTACATATATATATGTGTGTGTGTGTGTGTGTGTGTGTGTGTGTGTGTGCGCGCGTATGTGTGTTTTTAATGGCCACGCTGCTTTTTGAGGGCCTGGCATATAATTCCTCCGTCTCATTCCTCCATCCATCCTTGAGAATCAAATTCATCCTCCTTTTATGAAGAATTAACTTGTTGGAGCTGATTTATGAAGAGTGGCAGGCGGTGATGGCAGAACAGTGCTCTAATACGTTCCTCATAAAGTCCTGTAGTTATTCCTAAAAGAGTTCATGTTAATGCCTCCCATTAAAATTCATATTTTATTTCAACATAATGAAATGTCTCCCTGCAATCTCTCAGATATGCCCTTCAAAAGTGGAAGAGAGCCTCTCTTCCCTCCTTGGTCGGAGACGGTGACAGATTCACACAAACAGGAGATGGCACAGGCAGGTTGCCGGTGGGTCGCCCGTTTTATCCAAGCGCCTTGACTGACAGCCAGGACTTGTCTTGTCACATTACGTCTTCCATCAAATATGACGAATGAATGTTCGTTCCCGCAAATAAAGGAACGATTTCTCTTCTTGAAAAGAGAGGCAGAGGGAGAGCGGGCTTCCTGATCCAACTTTTATTAATAAGCCACCTTCTTTTAAGAAAACAAAGGCTCCTTTGAACAGACTTTTCAATTTACAGGTGTCGAATTGAATTGTCGCAGCCCTCGGCACCCGAGATCGGATTCACATCTCATTTCATTTGGGGAGGAAGGTGTTGCCTTCCAGGAAGGATTCAGAAGGAGTTTCAGGGATGGATTCGCTCTTCCTCTTCAGCCAAAGGTGGAGAAAACCCTTTTTAGGGGTCCAAATTCACCGATATACAGAAATACAGAAAGGATTGGCCTGGTTACAACACCCGTGGAAATAATAATAATAATAATAATAATAATAATAATAATAATTCTATCCTCCTCTCCCTAGGATCAAGGAGGGAACAACCACAATTAACAGATGAACAACATCATTATGAAGTTATCACATCTCCAGTGATGATGATCAGAATCCTCTTGGTATCATCTTGTTGGTTGTTGTTGTGTGCCTTCATTTCCAACTTAAGGTGACCCCCCTAAGGTGAATCTATCATGGCATTTTCTTGGCAAGATTTGTTCAGAGAGGGTTTGCCGTTGCCTTCCCTTGAGGCTGAGAGCATGTGACTCACCAATGGTCACCCAATGGGTTTCATGGCCAAGCTGGGAATTGAACCTTGGTTTCCAGAGTTGTAATCCAATGCTGAAACCACTACACCTTGTGCTGTATAGGGTTTTGTAAGTCCTCTACTCATACTTGCATAATGTACATCCATCTGTTGTTGTTGTGTGCCTTCAAGTCATCTCTGATATATGGTGCCCCTAAGACAAACCTATCATAGGGTTTTCTTGGTAAGATTTGTTCTGAGGAGGTTTTTCATTGCCTTCGCCTGAGGGTGAGAGAGTGTGACTTGCCAAGGTAACCTAATGGGTTTCATGGCGGAGGTGGGAATTGAACCCTGGTCTCTAGAGTTGTAGTCCAATGCTCAAACCACTACGCCATGCTGACTCTCCTGTTGGCATCATACACCTGAGTTAAGCACCCTTACACAGGCCCTTGTAGTGTGGTTGTGTAAGCAGATTTCCACAAGTATAACCATTCCACACAGACTTACATTCTCTTGTTAGTGACAAACAGAGTAGCCCCATTGAATCAGCTGGGTTTGCCTGTGTTTTGACTCACCATTCAACAATTGATACAATGGGTTTATTTTAGTTAGGCCTGTTGTTGCTACTGTGTGCTTTCAAGTTGTTTCCAATTTATGGTGACTCAAGGCAAACCTATCATGAGGTTTCCTGAGGCTGAGAGTGTGTGACTCACCCAAGGTCACCCAGTGGGTTTCCATGGCCAAGTGTTTCCCAACCTTCTCGGACCGAGACAGGGGTCACCAATCTCCCAGGGACAGGGCCTTGGAAACCATCCCTTATTTGCAGCTTCCCTTAGCTGAGTACCTTCATTCCTCATTGCATGGACCTCCCATTTTATGATGGCCAGGAGAAAATCAGCTCTAAACAGATTTCCAAAGACCTCCTTCTCCTCACTGTGTCCAGAGCTGTCTTTCGGCTTTCTCAGCTCCAGCATGCAAACCTTTCCATTCCACTTCCCAGGGCAGCATCTCCTCCTCCTTTGTAGCCAAAGATGGGACTCTAGGAAGACTCCATCAAGCTGCACAATACGAGACTAACAGTTGAGTTTTTACCTAAGCTTGGGGGACCCCCTTCCTCTTGTCTCCTCTTCCTTTATTCTTTCTCCCCCTGCTATTTCATGAGCGCTTTCTTCTTGACCCAAGTCTTTGTGCAAGCAGGCGCTGAGGTTCTTGCAGTGACCTGGTTTCCTTTTTGTATGTGTCTTGTTTTTCTTTTTGCACAAACCCTGCTGCTGGCAGGGAAAGAGACAGAGAGAAATTGTGTAAGGCAATGGACTGGAGACAAGGCTACCCAGTTGCTGACTGGCAGTTTTTCTCCTTTAGAGGAAACAACGTTGCAGCCCTACACATGTGTAAGTTCCTTTACACCAGTATTCCTCAAACTTTGGTTCCCCAGGTGTTTTGGACTTCAACTCCCAGAAGACCTATCCAATTTGGTCAACTATCAGGAATTCTGGAAGCTGAAGTCCAAAACATCTGAAGGATCAAAGTTTGGGAACCACTGCCTTACACACACAGTTGTCGTTTTTTAGCCATATACAATGGATGTAATGAATTCACAGTTGTGTAATTGCAGTTCCTCAAATGTAACCATTTGGCATACAGCTGTGCATTCTTGGATGGTGCTTAAATATCTGTCAGTGCCCTCAATGTACTACTTCATTAATGGGATTTCAGAAAAAGCCACTCCACATCCCTCTTTGCACATTGGGACAACAAGCAAGCATGTTGGTTGCCCAATGGCCAATGTTCAGTTTTCAAGCAAGGAAATAGAGCATGTGATGGCCTCCCAACCTCCAGGTTTTCCTGGATGAAGCAGATTCTCTTAATCTGTTTCTTTTTGGTTTCAGGCCTGATTATGTAACAGAGACAGATTTGGACACCTTGGTGGGTGACCTGGACTGAGAACTGGTCAGGATGTCTCTGTAGTTTCTGGTGGACCTCTCAACAGCCACCGTTCCCTTCAGAGCTAACTCAATGGGATCGACTCAGAGGATTGCCCTATAGGGTTTATGTAGGCAAGGAATCCTCAGAGGTGGTTTTGCCATCTCTTTCCTCTGAAATATAACCTACAGCACTTGGTATTTGTTGGTGGTCTCCCATTTTGTACGCCGCCCCGATTGCTTGGCAGAGGGGCGGGATATAAATAAAAATTATTATTATTATTATTATTATTATTATTATTATTATTATTATTATCCAAGTGCAAACCAAGGCTGGGAGACCCTGCTTGACTTCCAGGATCAGATGGGATCTGGTGCCTTTAGGGCATTTAGGCCTTCTTTAGAGATCTTTAAACAGATGGCCATCTTTTGGGGGTGATTTAGCTGTGTGTTCCTGTATGGCAGAAAGGGTTGACTAGATACCTCTGAGCCTGCCTTCCAGTTCCATGATTCTCTGTTGGCCCTAGTTTATATACTGTCACATTTCTTACCTCTTCATTGCTGGATCAGGTTTTTTCCTGTTACCTCTGCAGCCTCCCTCCCAATGCCTCCTATTCTTCCATGGGATGCATATTGTAATCAATGAGTCCAACCAGCAACTGTTGGGGAAAGAGCATGCTGGCCAATAACCAATTTCCAGCATTTTTTTTTGGCTTGTTTGACCACTTAAGGCATTAGAGGAGGCTTTAATTTGATAGGCCTATAATCAATGGCATTTTCCCGTCAGGAAAAGGAGCAGCTGAATGAGGAATTAATGACAGGCTGATCTCCATCACAGGGTCCCTGAAACTGAGAGCTTTCGCAGTCCATCATTCATGGACTCTGCAGTCCATCATTCTGCTGCAGTGGCTATTTATTCCTGTTTGATGGCCCCATGCGGTGATCCGGTGGCAGGTGATGTCCCTGATCGTGGTGAGTCTGTTTAACTTTAAAGGGTCTATCCAGGGAGCTGAATCTATTTTCATGAATGGGGATATCTTGGGGTGTGTGTGGAGGGGGGAATTGATAGACTGAGGGAAATACAGGAAGATGATGGGGGAAATGGTAATGGCTGGAAAGCCTTTTGTAGTTTTGAAAAATGTGCATGATTTCTAAAATCTCAGCCCAGAATCGTGTTGGTAGATACTCTTGGTAGATGAATGGTGAGTCAATACATTGATCCAATGGGTCTGCTCTAGTTGGGAAAAACTATAGGAAATAGGCTTTACACCCCTTTGATTCAATAGGTCTGCTCTACTTGAGACTAACAATAGGATGTAGATCTTAAACTCCATTGATTCAATGGATCTATTTTAGCTGGGACTAACTATAAGATTTAGATCTTAAGTCCCATTGATTCAGTTTTTCACTCAAGCTGGGATTAACTATATGATGTAGGCCTTAAACCCCATTGATCTAATGGGTCTGTTTTAAGTTGACACCAATAGAATGTAGGCCTTAACCTGATTAATTCAATGGGTTTATTCTACTTGAGACAAACTATAGGATGTAGGCCTTAAATCCCATTGGTTCAATCAGTCACTGTAGTTTGGACTAACCTTGTTGATTCAATGGTTGTATTCTAGTTGGAACTAACTATAGGTTTTAGACCTCAAATCCCATTGATTCAATTTTTCACTTTAGCTGGGACTAACTATAGGATGCAGGCCTTAAACATCATTGATTTAATGAACAGTTAAGTCTATCAGTAGGATTTCCAGTTCACACCCCATTGATTCAATGCATTTACTCTAGTTGGTTTTAGACCTCAAATCCCTTTGATTTAATTTTTCACTTTAGCTGGGACTAAGTATAGGATGAAGGCTTTTAACATCATCAATCCAATGAGTAATTGAGACCAACTATAGATTTTACACTTTAAACCCCATTGATTCAAGGAGTTACTCAGAAGGCATAGAACTTAAATCCATCACTGTAGTTGGGATTAACCATAGGATGTAGACCTTAAACCCAATTGATTCAATGAATGTACTCCAGTGGAGACCGAGGCAGGGAAGAGGAGGGGCAGCCGCACGATCGGCGCCCCTTCCTCCTCCCGAGGTTGCCCTCGGAGCTGCCGGTGGATAAGTGCCCGCACATGCTGCGGTGGATAAGTCAGGGAAAGTGCGCCTTGATTTAGCGCTCCTTTCAGAGGCGCCAATGGTGCGCTGTGGTGCGGATGCCGCGGTCCTGCGGCGCACCGTCCACGGCGTCTCGGACACCCTCGTGTGCTTCCCCCCTAAGGGCCTCTGCAGACTGCTAGAAATAGTGCAAATTGAGTCCACTTTAACTGCCCTGGCTCAGTGCTAGGGAATCATGGGAATTATAGTTTTTTCTGAGACATTGAGCCTTCTCTGTCAGAGAGCTCTGGTGCCACAATAAACTACAGTTCCCATGATTCCCTAGCACTGAGTCAGGGTAGTTAAAGTGGACTCAATTTGCACTATTTCTGACAGACTGCAGAGGCCCTGAGTCAACCTTGAAGCCTTCCAGGATCGAAGTCACAATGTTGTGGCTCCAGAAATTATAGACCCCGCTTTAGCTTTGTCTTGAAATGGCCCTTGGTGGCCAAACTGGGCTAAATATCTAACCAGAGTAAGAGGAGTTAAAACATTCTATAATGGTGAGAAAGCATTAATGCTTTTTGGTAAGGGTTGCTTTGAAAACATGTGGGTTTCTTGCACAAAAACTCTACTTATTTTTCTGCATTAAAAAAATCCTCTATAATAATTCAGAATGCTCAAATACTATGCAAAAATACTGATTTTCTTCCTCATGGTGTGGAATTGGGGGAACGGCAGTAATTATTCATCCCAGTGTTTGAAATAATTGAAAATTTATTCCCCTAAGCCAGAGGCTTTTGCAGCCAACCTCTCCCTTCCCCAGTCCAACAATCAATCTGCATGCTTTTTATGCATCTACTGTATTATTTCCAGTTGCCGTTTTTACCCCTCCCAATAATAAGGCATAAAAGCTTGCAGCCTTAGATTCATTCATTCATTCACTTGTTTGCAAGGTAATAGCAATTCAATATCTAATCTCGGATCCCGTTAGATTTGTTCACTAATAACTCTGTCCCTTTTCTGTTTACTGCTTAAGTTTAAAGGGAATGCCATTTTCTTATCCAACACATTTTTAGTGTGGCAGTAAAGAAAATAAAATAAAATACACCCACCAAATCTCTCTCTCTCTCTCTCTCTCTGTGTCTTTCCCCCTCCTGTTCATATAAAATACAAACAACAATAGGAAATGAATCTACTAATTAAACTGCCCCGGAATTCATTTTCGACTTTCCCGTGTGATGACAATACATACAGTGGAATCCAAAGGCAACTATTAAATGTATATCTCCCAGATAAAACTAAAATGAGAGAGAGATTGCTTTGTGATAGACTTTGAGGCTGGAACCAGACTGTCAAAGCAAACACAGAGGTATGGGA